TAGTTTCTATAGTTTAATTTATTTTCATGAAATTAAAAAGTTTAATTTCTTTTTATATCTTGATCACTACTGCAAGTGACTTGACTACTTTGTCTTGGCCTGCACTTGATGTGTTCTGAATGACATCTTCGATGCTGATTTTCCCTTAAGAAATTAACTTACAAAGTGTTGTTATTTCCCCTGAAAACTTGTGTGCTATCAGGTACATATATACTTTCATACAAGGAATCAAGGATATGCCTCGTCTTGGGGACCCGGATGCAGATCTGTTAGATAGAGTTCTTTGGGAGCTTGGATATCTCTGTTGCATCTATCAGAGTCAGAACTACATATCTCTAGGTTCTCCTGCAAGCTGGTACGCTACTCTAGCAGGAGTCAATTTTGTGACAACGAACGCTATATTTTTAATCCTAGACAAGATCGATTCGCCATATGCACGACGATGGAGTAGAGGAAGATTGTAAGATACATGATGGCACTTGCAACTCTTAATTTCTCAGTTTAAATTGACAGGTAATGGGCTTCAGATATGTATCATCATATTCTAGTCTAGGATAATCATTTCTGTTAGTGGGCCAATTCCCTATATGCCCATGTAATTTCACCCAATCCCTTCTACGCCCCTGAAATTTGTTTGATCTCTTATATACCCCTGAGTTTTTATTTGGATCCCTTACATACCCATTCTGTTAGTTGACCATTAGTTTGACCGTTAGTTATTGTAGAAATTACTTTATTGTCCTTGTTATATTGTTAAAAGCTAGAAATGTTTTGTGTAAATTATTTGAGTTGTGAAAACCAATAAGGAATAAATTACTAAATATTTGTTATGAATTTTTGAAAATAAAACATTATTTCATTAAAATAAAAAAAGATTTATTATAAAAAAAAGTTCTGCATAAGATTTGAAAATTACTTTTCAACAAATATTTAGTGAAAAAAGATTCGTTGTGAAAAAACAAAGGGGATATAATTAGTTTATCACAAATTAGAAAACAAATTTAAAATTTTTAAATAAATTTCAGATCAAATTTGATGACTTTCGTATATCTTCCCAAAAATTTAAACCTAAATAACATTTAGTTTTTGCTCTTAATTTTCTGGTGAAACTAATGTATGGATTTAATCATAATTTTTAAAAAATAAAAAATAATAAGTTTTATTTTTTAAGTTGGGCATTAAATGATTATATTGCTTGTATTTTGTATAAGTTTATTTTTCATATGAAAATTTATTGGGTAGGTACCACACATATGTATAGGATGGGTAATATAGTCATTTTAAAATATTTAACGGTCAACTAATGGTCAACTAACGGAGATGGGTATAGAGGAGATCAAAATGAAAACTCAGGGGTATATAAGGGATAATGTCAAATTCAGGGGTATTGAAAGGATTGAGTAAATTTTCAGGGGTATATAGGGAATTTTCTCATTTGGTTTACTTGAAATTCGAAGCTTGTGAATACTCTATATAAAACCTTCATAAAAATTGGTTTGATCAATTAATAGGGATAATAATCCCGAACTGGGTTACGTTTGTAATTTCTTACTGTTCATTTATGCTCAGTGGCTTGTTATATATTCTCAGATGATTGAGGATGTCAGGCGAGGGACTTGATCGACAATCCAAGGTGATTGAGTGTTTAACTGCACGTACAACCTCCATCCAAAAAAACTAAATCCTAACAATGAACTCGGACACATATCCAGGTTCAAGTAGTATACGGTTAGGAAAGGCTATGTAGCTACTCCTGGCAGTAGAAAATAGGCATGATTGCAACCTTAATCAGCAACAGCTAGCTTTGTTCTGAGCCAATCAGAAAGTTCAGAAATCAGTCAGTCACTCAGTCTGAGTGAAGGTAAACTCACAAATGACTTGTTTAGTTCCTAACTTTTTCTTCAAATTTTCAACTTTTCCATCGCATCAAAACTTTCCTACTCACACCAACTTTCAACTTTTTTTCTTCAAACTTCCAATTTCAGTGCGGAATTAAACACAGCCAGTAAACTAAAAATACTTGGACAAACAGCAAGCCATTTATTCAGGACTAGGTTAAGTAAGGTACAAGTAAAAAACGACAACACAAACTTATAGATCCATATGTTGTCTGATTTTAGCTTGCCCTGTTAGTTTGTAGTTGTAGATCAAAATAGTTTCCCGTTTTTCATCTGTTTTACAATATCTTCTCATACGTTTTTGCTTCTTGCATTCCATGTATAAGCACTTGTTGCTTGATCTAGTTATTTTTTGCTCATCTCCTGGCATCTTTCTATTGCACTGATATGAACAGACACAATATTCTCCGCATTCATCTATTAGTTTATAGTAGAAACCTGTGTGGTTAATTTGCCATTCTTTTCTGGTGCAAAGAATGATAAATTGATGCACATTAATTATATACTGAAAATTGAGACAACTTCTGAATTTTTCACTTGTTCTCTAAATATGTGTACTGATATGGCTAGATATTTCGTGCTTCGTAGAACAAAAAGATCTACTTAATTATGTTTGTAATTTGTTACTATTTGTGTTTGAGAAACGGCTAGGGTTTTCCGGCTAACTTCACAAATTAGTTGGTGGGTTAGCTGACCTGGGTTCAAAGTCTTACCCCTTCTAATTATTTGATATTAGGTTCTTCCCTAATATTCACGTTTTATTTTTGTTACTATTTGTGTTTTGTCTTGTGTTTCTCCCTTACTCTTTTGTACTAAAGTCTACATACAGAATTAAGGGAGAAGACTGCTGCAATTTTGATAATTTGACCCTTTGCAAAAACTAATTATACAAATGAATCATGGCGAAAACTTATTTTAAAAATGATCCTTTTATTCAACGCCAAATTGTATGGCGCTGAACTTAGACACCTCAGCGCCAACTAGCGTGACGCTGAATGCACGTTGGCACACCGACTCAAACTCCCATCCGCGGTGGCACGGCATACAGCGCCAGTTGACGTGGCGCTGAGGTGTCTAAATTCAGCGCCATACGATTTGGCGCTGAACAAAAGGGTCATTTTTGAAATAAGTTTTGGTCACGGTTCATTTGTATAATTAGTTTTTGTAAAGAGTCAAATTGTCAAAATTTGTGGAGAAGACTAAGTGCAGGAGCTCTTTCTTGCCTAGGCTTAGTAGATGCTTTCCACAGGAATAACTTATATTACATGCTTGGATGATCCATCATCCGTCTCTGCATGTGCCGATTGACTGATTCGGCAGTGTTTAGTTCCCTTCAAACTTCCAAAAATTCCGTCACATCAAATGTTTGGACATATGCATGGAGCATTAAATATGGACGAAAAAAACCAATTGCACAGTTTGCATGTAAATCGCGAGACGAATCTTTTGAGCCTAATTACGCCATGATTTGATAATGTGATGCTACAATAAACATTTACTAATAATGGATTAATTAAGCTTAATAAATCCGTCTAGCAGTTTACAGGCGGAATCTGTAATTTGTTTTGTTATTAATCTATGTTTAATACTTTAAATATGTGTCTGTATACTTAAAAAAGAATTTGACACACGAACTAAACCCGGCCTCAGGTAGAATTTCCTTTCCTATGTGTAGGGACTTCAGACCCGTGCTCTTTGATTTCCGAGAGTCTTTGTTTGTCGAGGTGCAGTCTGCACGGTATAGAATCGAGTTACTACCACCTATAACTTGTGATCCCAAGTTGAGCAGTACATGTAAACCAAACCGGCGGCAAAGCATATGCAGTTCGACGGCACGCGAGTACTCCTTGGGGACCGACGAACGAACAGCGCGTACGCATAGCCTGATGGAGGCACGGACGACGGCCGTCTCCAGTAATCAATGGCTGATTAGCCTCCGTGGCGATGCGCGGCGGCGGACGACGAAGCGGCCGCATCCCGTTCGAGACCGATCGCCGCCACATGAGCCGCGTCTGCCACTCCAGCTGGCGAATGGAAATAATCTATGGTCCGCATGTGAAATCGATCGGGATCCTGCACTAATTCGATGGTGAGCTCAGGGTTTGGACTATGCAGTTGAAAGATCACCTGTCAAAACAGTTTGAACGCATGTTAGTTTCGTTTTCACCCGCTAAACAACAGTGAATGCTCACCTTATTTAGAAAAAGGGAAAAAAAATCGTCGTCACACACTCACACTACTTGGGCCTGGTTTAGTTCTCAAAATAAAAACTTTTTATCCATCACATCGAATGTTTCGACACATGTATATGGGGTATTAAATGTGGATAAAAAACTAATTACACACTTTACGTGTAAATTGCAAGACGAATCTTTTAAGCCTAATCGCGTCATGATTTGACAATGTAGTGCTACAGTACATACATAGAATTGATACAAGGGTTTAAGTGTAACATAGAATTAACACATAAGGAAAGACATGTATAAGTCGACGTAATGACATGTAAAGCGTTATGTAGATGCCACGTGGAACAAAAATTAAGTCAAAACGCCACGTAGGATAAAACTGTTGTTCTAAAACACTTAGGTTATGTTCTTCTCCTTTCTTTCCTAACTCATATCTCTCCTTTTTCACGCACACGCTTTTTAAAACGGTATGTTTTTTCCGTAAAAGTTTTATATAGGAATGCTGCTTTAAAAAATCATATTAATTCATCTTTTAAGTTTTTTTGCAAATACTTAATTAATAATGTGTTAATGGGTAACACCGTTTTCCATTCCGAACTCAGCTTTAGGGACATGATTTACACGTTTTAATAGTTGAAGGACGTTGTATACCCGATTTTGCAGTTAGGGGATGAAAATGAATCTCAACCTATAGTTGAACTTTTTCCTTTACATAGATGGGCCGGATAATTCAGGCCCTTCTACGAATTGGGCCGCAAAGTTGGGCTTAGGTTGCGAAGCAGACTTCCACGGCAAGCAGCCGCGCGCTTCGTCTTCTCGCAACGCAAGTCGCAGGAGTCTTGCAAGACAAGCCATCTATCGCTCCCGGATCTCCGCGGCTTCCAGAAGCAAAATCGAATCAAACCAACGTTAGTTTCCCAGCATTTAAAGCGTCGTCTTCCTCGTCGAGTCGTCGTCGTCTCCCCGTCTCGTCCCCCATTCGCCGCAGAATCCCCTAGCCTCCACGACCCGAAGAAACCCTAAACCTCTCCACCACGATCCCCTCGCTCCCGTCTCCGATAATCAATGGCTGATCAGCCTCCGCGGCGATGGGCGGCGGCGAACGACGACGTCCTGCTCGAGATCGTCCGCCGCATCCCGTGCGGGATCGATCGCCGCAACATGGGCCGCGCCTGCCACTCCTGGCGCGTGGCGCTCGCGAAGCTCGAGCCACCGGCGCCGTCTCCGCCGCTCCCGTGGCTCCTCCTCCCGAGAGCCGACGGGCCGCCTACCTTCTCCTGTGTCCTCAGCGGCTGCCGCTCCCACCGCTTCTTCATCCCGCCCGGCGCGGTGCAACGCGCGCGCTACTTCGGCTCGTACGACGGCGGATGGCTCTTCCTCGCCATCGGCGGCCAAGGCCAAGCTCAGCGCCACCTTCTCCTCAGGCACAACCCCTTCCGGCTCCTCGTCCTCCCCAACGTGACCCACTTCCCCGACATGGTGTACCCGCCGGTACTGGGAGTGGTGAAACGGGACCATCAGATCAGCATCGTCGCCGCCACCCTCTCGTGCAAGCCAACCGAGGAAGGATGCATCGTCGCCGGAATCATCGATTTCGCTCACTCCCCCGGCCGCGCCGTGCGGCAGATCGCGTTGTGGCGCATGGGCGATCAGGTGGTCTTGCCGCCGTACTGGGAGCAGGTGCCGAACCAGCCGATGATTGAAGCAGTACCGGTGGACCTCATACACCACGATGGAGCCTTCCATTTCCTCATCCGATTGGAGCACATCATCGTGTGTGAAGAACCCCCGGAGTTCCAAGAAGAAGCCGTGCATCTGGTCCCGGTTTACATGTACTTCCAGCCGCGCGGCGGCGACAACGGCGACGAGACGGTCCTTGCTCGCTACCTCGTGGAGTCTCGCAAGAAGCTGCTCATGGTCGTCAGGTATTCCAGTGGGCGTCAGCACTTGCCGACGTCGGCGTTCCGGGTGTTCCAGATGAAGAAGTTCAACAATGGCGAAGAAGACGAGCCGCTCAACAATGGCGGGTTTCAGTACTACTGGAGCGAGCTGGACAAGCTCGAAGGCCGGATGCTGTTCGTCGGACGAGGCTGCTCCAGATCCTACGAGGCGGGTGACAGCTACCCCGCGGGCATGGAGGGCGTCTACTTCCTGGATGACCGGAGCTTCGCCGAGGCGGCCATGGCTTTCGGTGAAGGTGCAAACAAGCTGCCGTACCGCTGCAGCGACAACGGCAAATGGTCGGGAGCACCAGCTGATTCCCGGGTCGATCGCTGCTTCCCGTCGCGAGGCCCGTCGATCTACTCACCTCCGGTTTGGCTTCTCCCTTGAGTTGAGATCGACGACAGGTTTTCGATCGGAAACGTTGCTCAACAGGTCAAGTTAATTAGTCTCATGCCCTTGATCTACAGTTGTGTTGTTTGTTTCTTTTTGATGAGTTCGAATGGTGTTCGCATGTTGAAACTGTTTGCTGATTAGTCGATAGAACGGCCTGCATTTGTTTGTGGTGTAGTAAGCAGTAAGCTGGTGATGAACAGGATTCGTTTAGTGCAGGATTCAGTGAATACAGCTACACTTTGTTCTGTTCAATTTGCATTCAGTTCAAGATTCTTTTAAGTTGTAATGATGTTTCAATGTGCATCTCGACTCTGGAATACTCCATTACAGATCCGTATATCGTTGACACCTGCAGATTGTCCTGTTTCTTTGTGATTAGAGGAGTAGTTGCCAACATGATGCTCAATTGCTCATATTATATTGCTGATGAGCTGCATTCTGCACTACTGAATTTTAGTTTGTATGCACTCTGAACTTCTGAAGTTATTGCTGTTGGTTCAGTGCCATACTTCATTATGATTCAGTGCATTCAGCTGCACTTTGTTCTGTTCAATTTGCATTTTTCATTCAAGATTCATTTAAGTTGTGCTGAAGTTTCAATGTGCATTTCAACTCTGCAATATTACAGATCCGTTCATCTGTATATCGTTGACGCCTGTAGATTGTCCTGTCTCTTTATGATTTCTAGTTGCCAACATGATGCTCGTATCATAGTGATGATCTGCGCTACTGAATTTAGTTTGAAACTGCAAGATGTTAGCACATCCTTGTGTGGCAACTGATAATTTCAGTGTGGACATGTGCATGACCATGGTTGTGCTTTGATTTTCTGTGACCAGATCACGTCTTTTTTTCCTGGATGTAGATAGGGGTGTCCTTTGCGTGCAGTCAAATTTGGTTCTGCAAACACTGGCAGACTACTTTCCCTTGCTTGAATTCATTTGCTATGTGCAAGGCTTCATGTGGAGTAACTAAGAATGGGAACATTGAGGTTCTTAGCTCAAATGCAGAACTAACAAGATCTGAATGTTGATTTATACATGATTTGATACTTGGTACAGTATCTGCTGTTCATGTCATCATGTGCCATCCCTTTTATTTTGTTGGTACCACATTTCTAATCCTGCACTGCATATACCTAAGTGAATAGTATGCACTGTAGAATTCCGTCATTTTTGTGGAATCACAGCGGAAGAGAAGGAAATGTTCCTTCACCGGAATTGGGCGACAATGCCACAGAAACCTATACAAATCATACCGAATGGGAATAATCTATGCTCCAACTTCACTGGCCGCATGTGAAATCTGGATCCTTCACTAACTTGATGGTGAGCTCAGGGTTTGGACTATGCAGTTCAAAGATCACCTGTCAAAACAAATTGAACGTAAGTTAGTCGCGTTTTCACCTGCTAAACAACAGTGAATGCTCACCCTTACAAAAGGAACTATGCTTACCACAATTCAAAAACATTTGAGAAGTTACTTTTACTCTCTTTTTTTAGAGAAATATGTACCGAGATTTTAAGCAATAAACAGATCAGGTTACATAGATTACATGCATGTAAATTCTGAGCTCAGTGGAAGGGAACTATCTCTCAACAATCCGATATACTGTAAGGTAGTAATGGCAAAAAAAGAAAAGGGTCCCTTCATGCAAGAATAGATAGATCACATACAATGACATTATCTCCAGGTTTGAGGATCGGCGCAGGAACATACAGAGCGCATTGTGGTCCAATGGCCTAAAACATCAGTTAATTTTCATCTCATGTGAGCAAAACCTATACTGTATTATTTTTTTTAAAAAAAAACTGAGTATGAAGTGTCAGTATTTTACCGGCCAGAACCTTCCAATGTTGAAGTTGTTCACAAAAGCGACTCCTTTATTCCAACCTCGAAATGATATGAATGTGTCCTTTTTCTCAGATTCAGAGTCAATATGAAAATGGCCTTCATAGAATGCCGGTTCCTCTGAAATCCCTTCTGTAAATGCAGAAGATATAGATAGTGATGCAGCAATTAGACATGACGTCTAAATGTGAATGCAAAACCAGTTCAATATTCATGTATAACTAAGAAAATACTGAAAAAAAAAATCCAAGAAAGATGCATATTTTCTTTTGTGGGAATCTCAGTTCGAATTTTGTTGATTGGTACAAAATAAACTCAAATATTCGAGTAACTTGTCTTGCCTTAAAAACAAACATAGTATTAAAGGCCAATCTTTGTTCATTTCCTTGCTCTATACACAACTTGTAGACAAAGCAAGGTGCAGAAGTTTTTTTTTGCATTAATTAGTTTGACATTATCTAAGCAACTTATATCACCTCATAGTAACATCGGAAATAATATCCTAGAGTTGAACTGCCTCTTATAACAACATCACATGATGGCACATCATGAGTCATGCCTCAAAGAAAAGAACTGGACATGAGCATGGCTGTATGGGAGCTAATTATGACCGGATGTTCACCATAATCATGACTTCATGGGAATTAGTTATGCCTTACAGCCTTAGCTTGGTTATTTCTATGCTTGCATAGTAATCAACATATACATAAGTTTACCATTTAGATAGAGCGATACATCCTGCAACTTATTTTCTGAATCACCATAAATGGATACTTTGCTAGCTTCAGCATCAGTCATCTGCATGATTAGTTGAAGTTTTGAAAGGTTGCCCACCGCATTAAGTGAAACCGGATGCATTTTCCAGTGACGGAGAATAATGCCATCTATTTCAACAGAAGATAGTATGCCCTGTTAACAGAAACCGGTTACCAATCAGCACAAACTTATAACCGTGGCCCATGTTGATGCTGAAATGTACAGATGTTGTGATGGACTTACCTTCTGGTCAAAAATATATGGTCCATAATTTACTCGACCCATGTTTTCTACCTGTGGTCAGAGTGCAAATATGTGTTTGTAAGGCACAGGACGTTAATGTATGTAAATTAGTTTATTTGTTAGAACGCTTCTAAGATAGTACTCCCTCCGTTCTAGTTTACTTGTCATTTTTTTACCACAAAAGTTGTTTGCAAATACTTGTCCCTACAGGGAGTATTTAATTAATACAGTACTCTAATAGAGTGCTTCTTTTGTGCATACTAAGTAACAGTAGTTAGATATTTTTCTTTGCTAGGGTAACACTTGCACAATGGCAGATCTCCAAAAAAGTTATGGAACAATTACCAGCCATCCACTTGTGCAAGCAAAAAAGTTACAGAAGCATGCCATGTCTTCCCAGTCATCAATTTGTACAGAAAGCTTGAAGTCTGAACTCAATTTCAGGCAATCCTTAAGTGTCACGCGACGCCTATGCTTGCACATCACAAGCTACATCTAACTTTCACTGTTCGCGTCAAAAAACTTTCACTGCCCTCTAGTATAGACTGCAGCAGTAGTCTGAGTCTCGAGAATTTATGAATCATAGTAGGACTATGAAATAACAATTCGGTAAAACTGAGCTGAGTAACAATGAACCATACTATGGAAGCATAGAAAATTCATGTTTCATACTTCCAAGAAAAATATGCGATAATATTACCAGGATATATAAGCTGACATTAGATGAGCAGCTTAAGCTTGGTATTTGTAGTGTTTTACTCGACCATCTTTCAACTATGCCAACATATCTCGGTTTTCTGACATCACCGTGTGAGCAGGACACAAACACTTGAGCTCTGTCATGTACCTACACCATAATTTACAATTTTACATCTCAAATGATGATTTTGAATGTCATACCCACGGAACGAAGGATGAGTTGAAAACCTTTGGAATTGATAGGATGCTGGATGAATGTTTTTCTTGATATTCTGATGTGTACAGTAGAAAACCAAACATCTGTAATAAAAAAAACATCATCATGGATATACATAAACCTATTTGATAACTTCAGTACAGGAGAAGGGGAAAACAACTTGCATTGGTTCTTACCTGGCCCATCAGTTCCATGGATAGAGGCTGCTCTGAAAAAGCCACTTTCAGAGCATCACTGATGTTATGAATGACATCAAACAAAGAAGCGACCTTCTGTACTTCTACAAGCCCATAACTAGCTCTTTCAATTTTGGAAGGAAGTTGGAGAAGAGGAATGCCAGTGCATTCATGTATAACTCTTCTTAGTGCTGCTTGATACCACTAGATGTAATGAGAAACACAAAACCAAACAAAAAATGATTTAAAATATAATACAAGAACAAATATAATACAGCATACCTTTGTATTTTGCATTATGCACGTCCCCATACTCCCTAATTGGTGCATCCTAGTAAAGGACATCACATAAATATAAGTGGACTTGCAAAATTGGTTCAAGGAATGAAAGGAACTACCTGGACTCTTGCAGAACTACTTACATAGTCATATGAAGTGAGGTCTGCCTTGTAGTCAGATTCATTTTGACCAGTATTTGCACCATTGTAAAACCCAAAATTAGTCCCACCATGAGCCATCTGCAAGGATATCTCAGTAAGAAACAGATTTAATAGAGAGGCAAACGAAATGAACTAACAAATAGGCTCCAGAGACAGACATAAAGTACAGCAGAACCGTTGCGGCACAAAATTCTTTTAAGAGCTTTAGCTGTACTGCTAGCATCAGTTGTTGCAATTCTTTCCCCCCAGTGTGTTAGCCATCCAGTGTAAAATTCTCTGGAATGCAAGAGTTAACATCACCAGTAAAAGCTACATCCAAGAAAAGACTATGTGATAAATAGGGTATTGAACATGATGATAGCCCACTCACGAGCTTAAAGGAGCTGATTTTCCTGGCAAGTTGTATTCCTTCTGTAGTTGAAATATTGGCCATGGATTGGAACCAGTATCAAAATCAACAGCTGCATTTGAACCATATAGTTATTTGCTAAACATAATTACTGAGGAAAGCCAAAGGCATACTACAGCTATTTCACGATAATGATATTAGGAAGATCAAATTACTTCCAGACTCAAAAACCTTCTATGTTATTTATAAGTAAATAAACCAAAAAATAGTTAGTAACTCATCTAACACCCTAGAATGCTCACTTTGAACTGTATTTGGGGAACAAAACAAAACTGTGATTTCTAGCCATAAACAAAACTGGAAGCAACTAACATTACACATCGCACAAGTTTTTTATTTTATTATACCAGCGAAAACATCATCCTGAAGAATTGTTCCATTCTTTAGATTTCCAATGGCACCACCATCAGTTGTATACCTGAAAGATTATTTAGGGGAACTGGAGAATTCATAATCACAACATTGAATTTGAATATCACTGTTGACATAAAAAGAAGTGTATTGATGTTGATATCTGCACGTAAGCTTCGCTCTGAACCATCATTTAAATTAAAAGAACAGAAAATTAACTTTAATCGCATGACATCATATGGATGATTCTGTCAACAATTTAACAGTGATACTTGGATGAATATTTTCAATATTTCATAATGGCACTGCGCCAATAAGGCATGTCATAGATGCAGTTAAACTTAGTCATGCATGCAACCTTCACATAACAATACCAATGCCTGTATGGCAATATCGTTGTTGTTGTACCAAACCTTCTACTGTTTCCTACCCTAAGTATGCAATTTGTGGTGATAAACGGCAATGACTACATATAGAATCTGTAAAGCCAGTTATAAAACAGGCATAGCAGCCAATACTAAAATAAAATTGCACATATTTGCATTGTGAAAATTATAGTTGAGAAACTGTATACAGCATAATGTCATTCCCAAGATATCTTCTGGCAACTTCAACAAGGTAATGAAGATAATTCTTGTCATCTCCAAATGAACCAAATTCATTTTCAATCTGTCAGATCAGCTATAAGGTTAGATTTATTTTTTCATGCATACAGGATGTGGTTTGGTGCATATACAAGAAAGGCAAATGAATAGGCAGTAGTGAAAAAAGAAAAAGGAAACACAATTGACTTGCCTGCACCATGATGATAGGACCTCCATTGCTGTATAATAGTGGTGCGATTTTTGGGAGTAGTACTCCCCACCATCTGTCCACCTGGAAACTAGGTAAGATTGGCCAAAAAAATTCTCCCGAAATATTTCAAAGCAAGAATTGAAGTATCACATAATACCCCATTCTTGATGATATTTTGATAAGCATACCAAGGAAAGATAGGTTGAATCTGAAGAACGCAGTTCGATGGTTGGTTCTATGGTCAGTAACCAAGGTGGAAATCCCCCCAAGTCCCATTCTGCATTAACAGATTACAGAAATCATAGACCCTAAGTGCATAAAGCTCAAGCAAAGCACATGTACTATCACAACCCAATCAAATCTTAACTTTCAAACCACATTGAACCTGCACTAACATGACATTTATAAGCCAATAGAAAGTAGCATAAGTGAAAAAACAGTATCTGTTCTTCAACAACTTTAGGAATGCTGAGTGTGCTGTGGCAACTGAGCGACATGAGAATAGATCATACTGAAGCTTTTCCCTGATTTTCCCTGAACATAATTACTATGTTAGTCCCTTTTTACTTCTGCCATAAAGATTATCTTCTGCATATCATGCGAGATGAAGTGGCGACTTTGCTGGATTTTCAAATTATCACTGTGAAGTTTATAAATCTTATTTGATTATAATAGCTTTGTTTGTTCTACTTGGCAGTACAGATATTGAGAAAAGAGTGGTCCTGATAATCACATAAGAAAGTAAAATTTCAATCAGAACATGGAAATACCTCCACAAATATATGGACCTACACGAAGCATGACCAGCATATCTAATTCATGAGCAAGTCTTAAATATGATTCAATATCTGTGAAACCCTTGAATTCCCAGCTCAGCGGTTTTGGCTCATGCAGATTCCAAGGAACATATGTCTGAATTGTGTTCAAGCCCAGCGCCTTTGCCCTTAAAAGGCGATCTTTCCAGTACTGCAGCACAAAATGCAATGTAGAAGTAAGTTCACAATAAGGATAATTAGAAGAATATGCTGGCATAAACTAATGGGCCATGATATGTGATGTATACCTCAATCAAATAAATATGCAAATACTGTTCTTTTATGAATATATCAAATTCGTTAACCCAAAACATTACAGAATCACAATTTTGTCAATCTATGAGTTCCATCTGCAAGCTCAAGGTCATCCAAATATCCAATGTATATGCGGATTAGATACAAACAACAATACAATCATCCACAAGTCGTTTACCTAGATATAGAACCCCAAAATGTTCTAAATTAATCCCAACTCCCAAGCCTCAACTGAACTGAGATAAATTGTTCGATGACAACATTACCAAATCCTACACTCAGCTGCACCCCTCCAGTAGAGCGAGCAATGAAGTATCACGTCAAGATTGCACATTTGGTCGGGAAAACCTCACCTCAGGGACAATGCGGAAGTAGTGAACGTCGCCGCCGACGATCTGGAACGGGGCGCCATCCTTCCAGAAGGTGTCGTTCTCGACCCAGAACCTTCTCGAAGCCTCCCCGCTGGCCTAGCGGAACGCCCCCGAAGGCGACGAAGAGGATCAAACATTCAACAACACCAGCTCAGCCCATCGGAACCGAAACGCAGCGAGACGAGACGGAGAGGGAGGAGGAGGCAAGCGACGGGGGTACGTACCGCGGCGGAGCACAGGGCCAGCGCGAGGGGGAGGAGGAGGAGAAGAAGGTTCTGGAAGCTTCTGGACGGCCCCATTCCTCGACTCCGGTGGCTCACGCGTTCACGCCCACCTCGCTCCACTGACTTCACCTGCAGCTGCTGGATTCTTCTCCCCGCGAAGCGTGCCTTGCGAGCTACGCCCAAATTCTTTCAGCTCTCAGGCTGATGATGATGAAGACAGCGTGAGATGCCGTGAGCTGGATGCCTTCGAGATGGCGACGAACTAACGAATTCTGCTGCTCGGTGGTTGGGTTTGGACCGAGCGGGTGAAAGGGAACCGCGCGCGGCGCGACCCCCCACCGATTGTCGGGGCGCGGGGGGCTTACGGCAAGCAGCACGGGGGAGGAGTTCGCCGCGCGTGCGTGTGCGGGCCACCGCCGGCGCCGACGACGACGGCGGCCGCCGCCGCGCGCGTCGCCGGAACGGAACGGGCAGTGGGTGGGTGCGGCGTGGAGTGACGTGGCGGCGGGTGTGGCACTTGGGAGACGTCAACGCCTAGCCGCCTAGGCAAACTGTATTGGGCTGATAGGCCCAACTCAACTCAAGGCCCACTTAGGCCCAAACATGGCCCACCTTACGCTGCAGACCAGCTCGCCCACGAGGCGTGCGTCTCGCACACAGCACACTCTTCCGGTCTTCCCCACCGTTTGTCGCCTTTCATGTCGCCGGAGAAATCGCCGGAGTCCTCAGGTATTATGCTGTGCTCCCCTTTCTATCTCGCGCGTGCGCGTTCCGCGAGTAGGGTTCCTGTCTTGCTGACTTGCTGGTGGTTGGATCCCTACCGTGTTGCCTCCCAAATTTTTAGGTGATGAGTGCGATTCCCCAATTAGCTTGTAACTTGTGATGAATCAGATTGGGAATTCAGAATTCTGCACGGTTAATTAAAATCGCATAGTTCATATGATTAATTCGAGTTTTGGGGGGGTTAGGATTTTGCTGTCTCCCCTTCCATCTAAACATTAATGGGGTGGCTTTACACTTTAGTCATTCACCTGATTTAATGGAATTTTGGATTATTTTGCACCGCGGGCTTTTCCCCTAATGCTTCTCTTCAAAAGAACTGAGATGGAAGATTGTGTTTAGTCAGATCAGCATCTGAGCTAGGTCCAACTTGATAAATTCAGTCATGTGTGTGATGTTTATTTGGTTAAATCATTTTCTGAAGAGCTGCAAAGCATTATATACTTTTTTTAGATAATGGATTGAAAATATATAATGCCTTGCAGCTCTTCAAAAATTAAGATTGCCAAGCATGCATGTATGCTTCTAAGTTTGTTATCTTCAAATACCATGTATTTCTGTTGCACTCTCGGTAGCTTAGGGCAATCATTTGCTATCATCCACTAACAATATAAGAAAGCTCACGTGCATTGCTCGGCGAAAACTCACCTGTGTTAACTTGCCTCGACTTGCATAATTTGTTGTCTTGATGGAATATTATCTTCGTCAATGTTATTTCTTATTCTTGTGTGTGTTTGTACCATGATGAATATATATGACTTACAGTAGTTCGGGAACAAAGAGTTACAATTTCAAACAAGCATGGGGAAAATCTTGTTGGTCTACTGCATCAAGCATGTTCAAAGAATCTTGTGATCCTTTGCCATGGATTCCGAGCTACAAAGGCAAGTTGATCTGTAGCATCCAAGGATTTTTTACTTTTAATTACTTTAGGTATAGAGTTTATCTGCATAACATACTAACAGTCTTTACCTTTCCGGGACAGCCAAGGGACAGGCCGTGCAATCTCATTAAGATTAGGGATATATATATAGACACACACACACACACACACACAGAGTTCCAAGTTACATTTATATTGGAATTTTATGCTAAGATAAATTTGATATATAATCCTTTTGAAACCTCATAGTTCCTATTTTTTCCTTTATTAAGATATTTAGCTTAGGTGATAAATTATCTTGAATTTCTTGCACGCTTCATCTTTGGTTGTGGATGTGGATGAGATGCTGCTGTTTTTATCATCGTTTGTTTGAAAATGCAACACGCCAACACCCTACACGCTAAATGGGACTTACGATACAGATCCTTCTAATTGTTTTGTAGTTAAATGAGAGACAGACGGAAACGTATAATAACAAGGACATGCATCTGCAAAATTGCCATGCTCATAGTAGAAATCAATCTAACAAGAAAATATTATATTTTCAGTGGAGATCTATACTTTAGTCTCTCTAATACTAGTCTCACACTTCTAAAACATGGTAACTTGCAGGATGATAGCATCTTGGTTGACCTTGCTTATGCACTAACAAGGGAAGGTGTTAGTGCTTTTCGGTTTGATTTTGCTGGAAATGGGTAAGACATTTGTAAACGCAAGTGAAAATGTTTCTGAGTTATAGAGAGGAACTTTCTATTCTCAGTAGTCTGTGCTATGTCAGTGAGTAGCAGCTACCACAATTCTCCCATTAAAATTTGTTTTATCAATAACATAATGTTCCTAGAGTACTGTTCTTACTAGATGCCAGCTTGCCCACACATTAAATCTGTCTTCCAATGTTTACTCATAGTTAAAGGTGTTCCCTGTTTTTTCCAGGGAAAGTGAGGGTCAGTTCCAGTATGGAAACTACCGAAGAGAGGCAGATGACTTGCACTCTGTTGTATCATACTTCACAGAACAGGAATATAATATAATTGGTCTTGTTGGGCACAGCAAAGGTTAGCAAGCTGCTCTGACGTGCAACTATATTTATATCCATCAGTCTTCGGTATTGATTTATTGTTGCCTAATGCATACACGCTAACGTACATGCACATTCTTACGAGCAGCATTAGTATGCTTAGTTGACACCAGAAGTTGGTAGATATGCATATTTGGAGTCATACTGCTTTATGTAATCATTGCCGTGTGGAAGCGCATGCATACATGCACACAAACATATTTAACCATAAATAACTGAAAGTTTGAAAGTAATCACCTTATCTTGATCTCCTTTAATTTATTATCTGTGAAATATGATGTCTGAAGATCTGCTGGTATTGGTACTAACCAACATGGTTGGCTAAAGGACTATTTCTAATTCAATTAGCTTTCATTTTTAAATGTTCAGTCAGGTTTAAAACTGCATTCATTTTCTGATAATGTGCTTCCATCACTGAGACTCGAGAGTTTGTCACTCTGCTACTTTGGCAGTTTGATTTCAATGCTTTTATTGATATTCTTCCTACAGGAGGAAATGCCGTGCTTTTGTATGCTTCCATGAACCATGATATTCCTGTCATTGTCAACATTTCTGGACGCTTTGCGTTAGAGCGTGGTATTGATGGGCGCCTGGGGAAAAATTTCATGCAGAGAATAAAGAAAGATGGATACATAGATGTCAGGAACAGAAAAGGTAGAAGCTGCTTGGGTTATATGGCATTTTTCTTTTCTTTTTTTATTGCAAAGTTAGCACAAATCTCCGAATCAGTTGAAGGTTGCAGTTTTGATGTTGATTGATTTTGGTGTTGCTGTATCTGTATGCCTGTATCCACATCGCAGGCTTTCTCTGAAATCATAGCCCCATGAAGTCGTGACAATTATTTTCATCTATGTTCAGGGGAGTTTGAGTACCAGGTGACAGAGGAAAGTCTGAAAGATCGGCTGAGCACAGATACCCTTCTTTCAAGCCGTTCCATAAGCAAATGCTGCAGGTCGCAATCAAAAGCTACTATCACACACCTGTATCTCAGTATGTCTAGAAAAGAAATCCTTAAAGATTTCTTTTTTTGTTCTGATTTGCAGGGTCCTCACAATCCATGGCTCCAAGGATGAAATTGTTCCGGTGGAAGACGCCCTGATGTTCGCGGCAAATATCCCCAACCATGAGCTGCACATAATCGCAGAAGCCAATCATCGCTACACAGGCCATGAGAAAGAGCTGAAAGCATTTGTACTGGACTTCATCAAGTCCCAACCCAATTTCTCGTCGTCCTTGCGCCCGAAGTTGTAACTGTTTGACCTTTGCAATCCTTGATGCTTGAAGTTTAAATGTCATACTTTGCAATCCTTGACTACGTCTTAGCACAGTTCTGACTTCAAGTTCCATCAGAGCTGGGTATCTCTAGCTCCAAAAGTTTTTGAGTTGGAGCTCGGGGTAGAATAGCATTACTCCTACAAAGTTGAGACATCTTGTTAACATTCTAGACTAAGTTAGATGATTAGACAAGTTGAGACATCTTGTTTCTGTCCAAGAACTCATTTTTTTACTAGAATACAGGAACTGAGCTACTCCTGCTAAACACCAAACAGGGCCTGATTGTGTGTTCAATTCATCAGCTCTGAAGTTCTGAAGAACTACTACTACACTACTATAGAAGTCTAGAACACATTCAATGAAACTATCCAACTCATCCATTGCCTGTCATCTTCAATCACAATTCAGAGCCATCCTCACTCACACTGAGCTAGCCTAATCCAATCCATCATCACTTGCCAGAAGGAAGAGTCATTGCCATGCCTACCCTGACAGTGACAGGTGGGCCCCAGATCCCCTCTCCCTTTCTCTCGGAGGATAAAGCTCGCACACGCAGCCTTGCTACCTGCACACGCAACGCACGCAAGAAGAAAAAAAATGCTGCGAAGCCCATCACCTATCCGCGGCGCGATCATCATCGAGTCGCCGAGCCCAACCAACTCGGGTCAGGTCAGGTCGGGCCAGGTGCTCGAGCCCAGCAAGCTACACCAACAAACCGACCGAGCGAGCGAGACACTCACGCACACTCGCACGCACGCGAGCTGCACACGCAACGGCCTCGCGGCGGCAGAGGGGAGGGGAGGGGAGAGAGGAGAAGGGAAGGGAGGAGAGGCGAATGAGCGAGGAGGCGGCGGCGGCGGCGGCGGCGGCGGGAGCGGCGGGAGTGGAGGAGTCGTTAGGGAGGCGGAGGAGTAGGAGGGGCGGTGGTGGTGATGGGGTGGGGATGGGGGCGGCGGCGGCGGCGAGGGTGTGGGAGTTCGAGCGGGATCTGGTGGCCGGGGCGGCGATGGGCGGCGCCGTGCACACGGTGGTGGCGCCGATCGAGCGCGCCAAGCTGCTGCTCCAGACGCAGGACGGCAACGCGGCGCTGCTGGGCCGCGCGCGCAGGTTCCGCGGGTTCGCCGACTGCGTGGCGCGCACCGTCCGCGACGAGGGCGTGCTCTCCCTCTGGCGCGGCAACGGCACCGCCGTCATCCGGTACTACCCCTCCGTCGCCCTCAACTTCTCCCTCAAGGTTCCCACCCCCACCCCGAAACCCCCCCGCCATTTTTGTTCTTACTGTTTGTTTGTTCCTTGTTGTCCGAGTTATCGATTCGTACGTTACAACCGCATCAATATTGCTTCGGTTTGAGATAACAGTGCCAGTGCGATCTTGTGGGTGTTTTGGTGCGGCGGATTTGGGGTTCATGGTTCCATTCCTTGCTTGATCGGTTCGTATGCTTTAGTGTGTGATTCGATGAGCACAGGAATTGTGGTGATGTCGGTAACTTCTTGGTTTGGGGAAGCATCTGGTACTGGTTCTACAGCGTGCGGTGTAAATTCTTGAGGATGAGAGATTGTATTAGGTCATTAGATTCTGCTGGGATTTCACTTTCGGGGGAGAAATGTTTGCGGACGGAAATAGAAAAGGAATCAAAGAATAAAGTGCTCTCGAGTCTTATGAAAGAGCACTATAGACTAGCACTCATGAACACTAAATGGCATCTTGATGCACATATTCTCACAACATTTGTCGTACTTGTTAGTCATTGTTTCCAATAGCAGCAATGCCAGTTAGCATGTAAACCTTTTTGTTCTCTATTGAGGATCTAGGAGATAGGAACAGTACTGTACATCGATATAAATTTCATGATTGGTTCATTTGAATGGTACTCCAATTGTACCACACTAGCATCTTGCTAGTTATTGCCATTATGTGGTGGTATCTTGTGAACTGATCCGTAATGAACATTTGATTCCAACAACAGTGATGTAACTACTAAATTAGTAAGAAGGCATTATGTGGACTTGCTCATGCGTTAAGGACTGTCATTGTTGTCATGGTGTTCGATGCAACATATGTTGTTATTAATGTGTGATGAAATAATCATATATAGTTACTGATTACAAAAGATGTACAAAAAGATCTGATGCCAAATATGAGAAACTTAGAAAAGCTTTTGGGCAAGATGACAGCCATTCTCTAAAATAACAAATGGCAAAGCGACATTGCTAAATGGATATTTGAGTTGCACCTTTTTAAGCAGCTGTAGGACTGTAGGAGTTGCAGGCACTTCCTGCCATAGTCAAATAGCATGACCATGATCAAATCCCTTGATATATAGTCATATTATAACTCAAGAAACAAATAGATTGCATCTACTGCCAGCTACTATAAGAGAAATATACATTGTACGGCAATATAGAACATAACAGTGATAACTATTTGAAGATGGCCAATTAATTATCGTGTTTTTGCCTCTGCTGATTTTCGTGATACTATTTGAAGCCAGGTTGCCCTGTGACTTGTACCGAATGCATCTGAGCTTATCTAAATTGCAGCAGGGTACTGCTTTGCCTTTACTCACTTTTACCAAATTATTCTTGAAGATTTATGTTGTGGATTATGGCCCATGCAACATATGTTTGGTTAATGTTAACATCTCTTCAGATGTGTCGATTTGACTTGATGATTTCCACTCACACTTAGCTATGTTTCCTTGATGCTCAATTATGTTGAAACAAGAATTGCTCATCTTAGTGGCGAAAGACATCGAATGTATGATAAGTTGATAAACCATAATGGTATAACAGATAATAACCGATGAGCAACTATGCACTACTTTACAACAGAGGTATCTAAAATATCTTATTGTAGAATAAGAGTTTTGTAAGAAAGCAATTATGGAAGTACGAACAATGAAAATGATGGTTGGAGTGGCTTTTAATTATGAATGCTTATCTCAATTGGTATCTCTAATCACTGATCGATATTCTTGCAGGATCTGTACAGGAGCATACTGAAAGATGCAGGAACCTCAGCTGATAACAAGTTCTCTTCTATTGCTTTAACCAACTTCATTGCTGGTGCTGCGGCTGGATGTACTACTCTGGTCCTCATTTATCCACTTGATATTGCTCATACCCGTCTTGCAGCTGATATTGGCCGGACCGATACTCGCCAGTTCAGAGGCATTTGCCACTTCGTTCAAACCATCTACAATAAAAACGGCATCCGGGGTATCTACAGAGGATTGCCAGCATCACTACAAGGGATGGTCGTTCACCGGGGCTTATACTTTGGAGGCTTTGACACCGCCAAGGATGTGATGGTACCACTAGACTCGCCCCTGTGGCAGCGCTGGGTGACAGCACAGGCAGTCACTTCCATGGCGGGGCTCATCTCGTACCCGCTGGATACCGTGCGAAGGAGGATGATGATGCAATCAGGGATGGATGTGCAGATGTACAGCAGCACCCTTGATTGCTGGAGGAAGATCTACAAGGTGGAGGGGATCAAGTCGTTCTACCGCGGAGCACTTTCTAACATGTTTAGGAGCACTGGCGCTGCCGCCATACTTGTTTTGTATGATGAAGTTAAGAAGTTTATGGACAGGGGTAGGTTATGACTTACGACACGTATAGAGGGTTTGGTTCAGGTTCTCCACAGATTTTTGGATTCAGTATGGAGATTAGACCGCCAAAGGTACAGGGAGCAGCAAGCTCGAGCATTTTGTAATAGAGTTGTAGTACTGGATTCCTCCAGGTCACTAACCCAGCTCGATGTAACTGGCGTTCTTCATGGTCTGAAGATGGTAGCTCTTGTTTGTTCATTTGGTTTGAAGGCAGAGCTTTGCTTCTTGTGTTATTGTCATTGGTTGTATGCCAGCCTACACGTGTGACTCAAAAGTTCACTCTTCAGAGTTCAAACGGTAGTTTCACGGCGAATTTCGGTCAATTTCTGCGTGGCAGTCGAACAAAATTGTCTTGTCAAGAAATCGCTTATGAGCACGCAGACAAGGCACTTGCGAGATTACTTTACTCAAGCCTCGGTTGAATTGCAAAACTAAAAAAAAAAAAGAACAATTTCCTTGCCATCAAAGATGCAACTTGGTCGCACAAAAACATTGCCTCTCCTAGATCAAAATTTCTCAGCACTATGCCAGTGGTATTGGCAATATGATAATACCAAACCGGCGATATTCATCACTCAACCATAAGCTTCGCACAAGATATGTCGACCCAATACAACAATGGAAAAAGCTACCAAACATATAATACCATGTCCCGAAAAAAATATCCCCCGCCAGTTCCACTAAACCAACTCAATCCCAACACTTCCCCAACTGGCTCTCCAAACCAAATGGACGAGACATTGCATCAAGCCGAACCAAACATTCTTCTTCACTCCAGGACCGGACTTTGGAAACGCTCAGGTAGGAAGCATCTTACTGTTGCTTGCATTCTGCAGGTCGCTCTCCCTGCTGCCCTTCCCCTGCAGGAACTCGTCCGCCCTTCTGTTTCAGGAAGGAAAGCAAAATAGTAAGAAAAAGAGTTTGGTTGAAACTAGAAAGTGCATGAGAACCATGAGTTTTCCGTCACCTTTTCATCCTCGTCGTCTTCATCATCACCCTCGTCATCCTCATCTTCATCATCGTCGTCATCTTCATCGTCATCATCTTCATCATCCATAATGCCTTCGAAGTCCTCATCTTGAGCAGCCTCTCCAGTAAACCATGAAACAGCATGTGGAATGATCTTGTCTCTGATGGTAGATCTGGCAACAAAAAAGGGACATTTAGAACTAGTACAGTGTACTGGACAGAAAGCAGCCACTGCAAGTAACAGAATACACAAGGGCATACCCAATGTCATAATCTTGCTCCATTTGGTTCTGCAACTGTTCAGCCTATTCAGGAGATAAACATAAGAAGCATGCCCATGAATACATGCTTTAAACTTTAAAACATGCACAGAAAATATGAAACTTACTGTATCCTCATCAATTTCCTCATCATCATCAGGAACTTGAGGTGGGCTGAAGAAGTTAAAGAAGCTCTCACAGTTTTCAGTTTTTGTGATAGGTTTAGTGTTCTTTGAGCCCTTCTTTGGTTTCTTCTTGAGAACCTTTTGTGTCAAACACTTCCCAGGGAACCATTCAATTTCAGTACTGAAAACAAGAATGTCAGAGATATGTTGGTGAAACTGTCCATTCATCTAAAAGAGTAAAACTTCACGAGTTGAAATATTAGTTACCCAATGGCTTTCTCCAGAATTGGTTCATCTTCATCAA